AGATCAGCGTAACCCAAATTGTGAGTTCAAAGCCCAGGTAGGGTCATATTGAACAGTCAGTAATAAGTGATCATGTCAAGTGTAATCATATTGTCATTGATTAAATATTTTACTTGAACAGCGTACCACTTACCTTAAAACCCCCCATACCATTTAAGTACTTCTCCTACAAAAAACACATGTGAAAGTTGCAGTTTCACATGTGAAATCGCATTTTCACAAGTGAAATAACTGTTTTCACATGTTGAGCTGAAATGTTCACATGTGAAAACAAAAGACACATGAGGTCAGTTGTTCACATGTGAAACCATATGTATTCAATATAGAGTTCACATGTTAACACCACCTTTTCACGTGTGAGGAAAATAATATGTTTTCAAAATAACATGTTTTCAAACACCCAACAATCGAATGAGCATTTTCACATGTGAATAGCTTTCACATGTTGAAACCTAACGCTCACTTGTGAAATTGCATGTGAAATAAAATTAGCATTTTCACGAATTAAAATGTTATCTGAAAATCTAACTCTCAGATGTGAAAAACGAATTTGCACTTTCACGTAAAAAACGTTCGCTTGTGAAAATCGTACTCTCACATGTGGAATAGCATTTTCACATGTGAAAAACTTTCACATGAAAATCGAATTTTCACTTTCACATGTGAAAAACTTTCAAATGTTGTCACGTGTAGTTTCATGGTATCACATGTTTAAATGTTGCATCCCAAATGTTTTCACGTGTAGTTTCATGTTATCACATGTTTCTTTTACATGTTGTCACATGTTATGTAAAACACATGATCAGGTGAAATTAATGTGGGTTTTCCATAAGGGAATATCTTGCAGCTCATACAAAAACAACACAAGAATGTTTTGGGATAAGTATAGATTTTATTACAGATATCACAGCCCTTGATTATTTAAACAAAGTATAAGTAGAAAACTATTTTGCGAATGCTGTAGATTAGTTGTGTCACGACTTCCTCTGAAGCTGCCTCCTCTCCTTGTTCGGGCAGGCTTCGGCGTTCGTCGTCGCCCGCCTTCTAGCCACTGCCGCTCCTCATCTCATAATTCCATTTGTTTTGTCTTGTTTATTACACACACCTGGTTCATATCCCCTCATCAGTACCTGTATAAGTGTTCCCTCTGCCCCCCTGTCTTTGTGTGTGATTGTTTATTGCGGAGATTACATTAGCTCGGTGGAGCTATATTGTATTTTGTATCGCCGGGATATTCTCCCGTGTGCCTTGTTTTCCAGTGCGCCGTATTTCCGCACTGGAGTGTTTTACGCATTGTTGCGTACCGATGTGTTATGGAATAAACCATTTATTCTGTGATTTACCCTCCTGTGCCTGACTCCTTCAAAATCACGCACCACAAATTGGTGGATTACATGTAGACATTTATTCGATTTTTATTACACACACCACAGCTTTCTGCCTCACACACATAGTAATGCATTTAGAAAACTCCTCCAAAACACATAATGATAACCACGGAAAATGTCTAAAAAGACATGAAAGAAAAGTCAAGCTGTAGCACATTAATCTCAGTTAACCTAGAAGTAAAATGTTGCATGATGTGGTCAGGTGCCAGTTATGTTTACATAGTATGTCCACGAGAGATTAGCCACACATTAAGAAGTTCCCTCACTCCACAGAGCACTACTGCCCCGTCTGTTTCCGCCCTTTCTTCTCTGGACCCTCTTCAGCTTTCTCTTTACCTTTGGGTGGGCACAGAGCTTCTTCCCTTGCACATGCAGTCTATGGAAATGGAGGATAAGACAGTCATTGTCTCAGGTCACCATCTAACGCAGAGGGTCTTTAAAGGTCCTGAACAGTCATTCTGAAAAGTACTTTTTCTCTCATGGCTACTCTATTATTATTATTATTATTAACTCACACAAGTGCATTGATCTCACAGGCACCATTGTTTCTCTGCATCTCTGCTCTCTCTACCTTCCTCAGCAGATAGGTGGGAATGTCCATAGATGCCTTCACACAGCACTTAGGAATGCCACCTGCAATGTTTACGATCAGTTGTAAGAGTTGTAGTACAGTGGCCTAAGTGATGGTAGTGGTAATTGCAGCAGCAGTAGTGGAAGTTGTAGTGGTGTACAGATGTAGGATCTTAATTTGATCAAAGCTGTAGTGTATTCAAGGTTTAAAAAGGCTTCTGTAGTTAGTAATTTTAGTAATGTATCAACCCCCTACAAAAAATGTCCATTAATTACTGTATTATCCACATAATAATTAACATTTATTGTTGTAGCAAACTGGCTCAAATCAAGATCCTACATCTGTAGTAATGGCTTCAGTAGGCATGGTAAAACAATAGTAGTAGTAATAGAAGTAGTACTAGTTGTAGTAGTACAGGTAGTAGAGTGTTCTTTCAAAGAACAAGGAGTTGGAGAGGTAGCTGAAGTAGTAGTAATCACAGACTAGTAAATTCTCCTTAAACTCAAGTGACCTGTGTTGTTTTAAGGTGTGACTATAGAATGACAGTAGAATTACAACCTAGTGGTTGATGAGTATCAACTGAAAGTAAGCGAGTCACAACAGATACAACCCACAAATTATAAGCCTGCCTGTGCCACTAAAGAAACAACTTTGGACAATACCATTCAGCAAACATAACTGCCATTTGATAGTAACTGCCAATCTCTCCCTCTCTCTCTCTCTCTCTCTCTCTCTCTCTCACTTTCTCTCTTTCTCTGTCTCTTAATCACATGTGCATATACACACGCACACACGCGCGCACACACGCACACACACACACACACCACACACACACCACAAGCTTCAGCATGAGCAATGCTTAGCATTTCCACTGAGCTCTTGTGTCTCTCTACTCTCACACAACCCCAAAAAGTGAACATTCAAGGCAGCTAGCTACTCTTTGAGTCCTATGTAAAGGAGTGATGGTTTGAATAAGTGTGTAATAACGTTTTAATTTCCTGTTCATGACTGACCAATCAGTAAAAGTAATTGATTACTAGGCCACTGCTGTTCTGATTTCTCAAATATCAATACTTGTTTTTCTAGTAAGAACTACTGCAAAATGTTCTGATGATAGTAGAGCGGCCTATAGGCCAGATCCTGAACATTTATTAATTTATACTGGCCCTTTGATCAATTCTGAACATTAATAAAATATCTGCAAAAAAAATCCTCGCCTAAATCCAACATTCAGTGCCAAATTGACAAGCACTATGATGGTTGTCTGGTTTCTAGCAGTTTTTTTTGTGCTGTTTGTAGCACATTTGTGGCACATTAATTATTTTTTCGTCATATGATTTGGCTCTAGCATTTGTATGGTTTAAACTACAAAAGATTATGACCCCATTCCCGAAAGCTACAACTCTAAGGAACACCTATGTGCCTTCTGTTTCCATCTCTCATACTCACAAGGACTCTGTTAGAAGGGAGTGTGACAAAAAACGAATCTAATGACTGAGTGAAATAAATTCAAAGCAAAAGTCCTTCAGACTGGAATTTGGCATTACCTGATTTGTGTTATTTATTGAGATGCTTCGTTTTCAGATGATTTAAAAATGACCTAATTACATTTAAGAGGCTTTTAAACAAAAATAATGGTGAGCAAGCTTTGCAGCTTTTCCTTTTCAATGATGATAAAATTATTTGGTTGCACCTTGTTGGTTGAGCGCCCTCCACTTCTTTTCTAATTACTTTTAGCAAAATGTAATTTGAAGAAAAGTGCTTTATTGGTGGTTGCGTTAATTTCTTATACAGTTCTTCCGAAAAATAATCGCATGTGGAAAATGTCCCCCCCTGCATTTTACCTTTTGTACATCTGGCCCCCTTAAGAATATAGTTCAATAGCCCTGTATTACACTATCTTCCTTACCTTCAGTGGTTGTGATGGCCAGAGCACACAGAAAGAGAAGCATTGCCATCACTCGAAGATCCATGGTGACAGCGGGAGTGAGAGATCAAGTGAAACTCATCAGAATTTATACACCGGGTGACAGCGCCAGCGGGAATGAGAGATTAAGTGAAACTCATTATTCTAGCAAACATACACCCACACACTGTAGAACCAGTCAAGACGCATCTGTTTCTTTCAGTAAATCAAAGTTATGTGACAGGTATAATTACTCTTAAGAAGTACAAAAACCTGGCTTGGAACTGGGTACAAAAGACAACCTGAATTCTACCATGTGAAGATTTCTGGAAACAGTATAGAGTTGGAGTATAGAAACGCTTCAATTTATCAGCAAATAGATTTATTAGCAATTTCACTGGTGGGTATTTTCAGTATTTTTTTTGGATGGAAAAACAAAAGACATACTAAAGTTTTGTTGGCAGTGATTTCTTGATGTCTTTCATTTCGATTATACAACAGCGGTGATTCTCTGTAAATGGTGATTCATAATAGTAATATATTGCATTAATGTAGTGGTCTACAAGCACTTCACATAGTAACAACAATGATTGTTGAACATTAATCTGAGCATTCTACAACACTGCAAGAAAACTATTTATTTCCTACACAAATGTCTGGATTTCTGTGGTGTATACAGAACCTATTTATATTGAGGCATTGGGAAATACAATGTCTTGTAGAACTGAATAATTATATATGTAATGTATGTATCTGTATATACATTCTTAGGTGGAAAAAACACTCTTTCTTTGACAGTTCATAACTCGTATCCTTTTTATCCTGTTGTTATTTCTGTCAGAAGTTTAACCATTTTGCCTGATTCCAAATCGACCCCTAGCCTAGCCTAGCCTAGGTACAGTATAGATGTAAAAGGTTTTGATAGTAGTGGTCAACAATATGGCGAAATCTCCATCAGTAGGCAAGGTGGAACAATTACCATATTGCCAATACCTATCCAATTACTGAAGTTCCTTCTGGAAAAATAAAGTAATTAAATTCAAACCTTTCCGATCTATGAGAAGTGTCAAAGGCTAGTAAGGGTTGATTTGGAATTAGGCAACGTATGCAAATCTCTGGAGTGAGATTGTTACTGTTAGTATTCACTTTGCCCCCTGGTGGCAAAGTGTAGCAGGCGCAGCAGAAGTTCTTCCGGTGAGTCCCTTGTGGCTCCGGTGCTGTGATCCGCAGGAGAGTGGTACCGACTCGTCCCCAAACAGTCTGGGTCTAGAACACAGCTCTCTGTCGATATACATACAATGATGAGGGTTAGAAAACGATATAAACATAGCATGTATTGTGCAAGTATACACCGGTATGCACAGACAGACAGACAGACAGACAGAGACAGACAGACAGAGACAGACAGACGGAGAGACATACAGAGGCAGATGACAGACAGATAGACAGACAGACAGACAAACAAACGGGTAAGTGCACAACCACACACACAGACGAAACACAATAGACAGAAATAAGCAATGACACCTACTGTACCTGAGTCACAGCAAACTCCTGGTGCAGCGCAGTGTCCTACGTCAGATCCACAGGGTCTCCCTCCTGCCTGGCAGGGGGTGGGCAGGTAGTTCTCCTCCATGCAGCGTGCCGTCTCTGGGGAGCCCATCCAGCAGCCTAGCCCCTCCCCACAGCAGATACTGGGGCCAAAGCAGCGGCCCTGGTCCCCTGGTCCACATGTCATGCACTTCAGGGGGAGAGACCTGTTAGCTGGCTTTCTATTTTTTATATGCTAGTGGAACCTAAATTTGTCATTTTTTTAATGATTTAACTATTAATCATAGAAATAAAATTACAAAAAAAGTGTTTTTAATGTTTCCATTGTTGTAGGCTATGTGTGTTTTAAAGAGCCCTGGAAGCACAGATGAGCTCAAAGAAAGAAAAAAAGAGCCTACAATTATGTAGGTTCAATCTAAATTCCATTCCGCATTTATTATGACCGTGTAAATACTGCATTTTATGTAAAAATAGGCTCTAAATTGATGAGTTGTCAACATAACAGCCTGACCATTAGAAAAAACACAACTGTAAAATGCATTAGGAAAAATAAATATAGCATATGAAAAAACAAACAAATAAATAAATATTTTCTGAATATCTGTAAGGACACTTTGGCTGTGCGCAGCCGGTCATTTTCAAATGGTCATTTTCCAAACCTTTAGGCCTATGGATTAATAATAAAGTAGTGTGGTGCGTAGCCTAGTCTATCTACTTACAAGCATAGTGTAGCCTATATAGCCTAAAAAGAGAACTCGGAAAATAGAACGGTCTGTAACGTAGGCCTACTTGTCTGATGCCGGTGTCCTGTAACGCGCGCTTCCCGCCCCTGGGACAGTTCTGGATGTAGCACGCGGAGGAGAACGCTAGGAGTCCGACGACGCACAGTGGAAGCGTGGAATGTGGCATTGCAATTGTGCTGAAAAAGCGCACCTATATTCCTCTTGCTGCTTCACGGATAACAGTTACTCGATGCTACCCGTTACTTATATGGGATTGGTTTGTTATTCAAAGTTGTTTGACGTCAGAGTTTTTTCATGCGTTTGCCTCTAGTGATGTAGTTAGGGTACTAGGGGGTAGCCCCTGTAATTCACATTAAGACCACAAGATGTCACCAAATTATTTCCCCAACACTTCTCCTGGCTGCCACTGCTGTTGCTAAACAAAAAATGTCCTCTATGTCATCACAAGTTTTGGAGATATTTCAACAAAACGATTTTGTGGTAAATTGATGGGGGGAACCCAGTTCCTACATTTGAATATAAAAATGGATTTTATCAAACAAAACTATGCTACATTTTATCTCTGGGACCCTCAGGATGACAAATCAAAGAAAGATTACTGAATGTAAGTACATTATTTACCTTCAGAGGTGAATATATCAAATCAGTTGCCGTGACAAAAGTGTTCTGTTGTTGTGCACTATCCTCAAACAATAGCATGGTATTTTGTTGCTGTAATAGCTACTGTAAATTGGACACTGCCGTTAGATTAACAATAATTTAAGCTTTCTGCCCGTATAAGACATTTCTATGTCCCGGAAAGTTGGCGTTGTTTACAACACCATTCTAGTCACATATCGCATATTGAGCAGCAACCGTCCCGGTATAGGGACGCCCATCCTGTAGAGGTTATTAAGAGAGAGCTTTTCAATTGGAATCTCTCCCCCTGTTTTCAGTCACAGGTGGGGACTGGTTTAGGTGTGAGCAGTGCAGGAGGTGGGCTCATGAGTTGTGCTCCAATTTTACTGGGAATAGCTTTATTTGTGACCTATTTACAAATTAGAATTGTGCAATAGCAGAGAACAAGAGTTGCCACAATGTTACATTTAATTAATTAGTTAAGTAATGAGTTATTGTTAATAAATGTTATAGTCCAATATTATATAATGTTATTAGTTATATTCCATTCCAATATTCCAATTAATATTTTTTTAAATGAATTAAAAGCTATTGAAAACCTTTTGCTCATGAATGTCATTTTAAAGACTGCTGGGATTTAAAATCTTGCATTATTCAAATAATATTTTGTGCAATTGTACATAGTGGATTGAATGCAAAAGGAACAACAAAGAAAGAACAAATACAATTAATGTGCAGGTGAGTTAAAAAGAGGGACTTTACATCAAATCTCCTCATAGTCTGGATATTAATTGTGAAGTGCAAAACCCCCCCTTTTTTTTGCTTTTTTGTGTCAGCAATTAGACATCGATCTTAGGGGGGGGGGGGGGGGGGGGGGGCTAGTTACACCCTAGTACCCTACTAATAAACAATTCCCATTAGCCTAAGCCATACTATATTCTATTTTGGTTCTCAATTCAGTTACACTTTTTGTCCTTCTATAGCCTATTTCCCATGTGTAGCATAACCTATGCCACCATGATGCCCTTTCTATTGAGAGTTGTGGTCCTCTGTAGCTCAATTGGTAGAGCATGGCGCTTGTAACACCAGGGTAGTGGGTTCGATCCCCGAGACCACCCATACATAAAAATTGTATGCACACATGACTGTAAGTCGCTTTGGATAAAAGCGTCTGCTAAATGGCATATTATTGTTCCTATTCCTTTTCTGTTTTGCCTCTGATTTTAGGATGGTGCTGTTGCATGTTCTTTGAAAGTTGTAGGTTTGCCCACAATTAGAAGGAAGGAAAAAGGTAAAGACCATTCAGGATTAGACCCACCCGTTGTATAAAACAGAAATAAACAGGAAACAACCCTTATTCCCGGAACTTCATGTAGCCTATAGGTTTAGAATATATGGACAGATAGCCTATAAGTCATGGGCCACCTGCAGCTCCACTTTCTGACACATTGCTGTAATAATTGTTAGCTAAGATACAGTAACGCTACACTAGCTAAATTATTTTGGGGGTTAATATACAATTGTCTGGTGATGTCATTAAGATCAATAGATAAAATGAAACTGTCCTCGATTTTCAGATGAGTTTCAAAAGAAGAGATATGCATTTTGGTGTAGAATGTCCCACCAGAAGTGACCTTCTCACAGTCATTAACCAGAAAAATACACCACTACCCCTGCCACTGCTGCTGAAGAAAATCCTAGGGGAAACACTGTACCTATCCAATCCTTTTTAGATCTGCATAAGTCAGAGCCATCCACAAGGGCCTGGGGGTTAAGGGCTAGAGGTTGTTTCAATGTTTCTGGACAGAGCCAAAGATAACTAGTTCTGATAGCTAGATAGCAGAACACTCAGTGCAGGGGTGGGATGTATTAGGCACTGCCAGGCTAAGGTAGTCTATACAACTGGCACATAATGGCCTTGACAGTAATACCCTGCGGATAGGGGGATGGAGGCGGTCACTTGTTTTCAGGACACTACAGAGAAGGGAGAAGGTTGAAGTTAATAGAAAGAGAGAACAAGGGAGAGAGAGGGAAAGAGAGAGAGAAGAGAAAGAGACGTCACACAGTGTCTGTCTCTGCATCAACAATTCTCCATCTAAATTATCTGAGCAACAAAACAGAGCTTTGAACCTGGCAGAAGAAAACATCTAGTCTGTATTCAAGACTGCATGTATGCTAATTTGGTTGAATGTTAATGAATTATTTATGTACAAGTAACTGCCAAAATAATGGAAACACTTGAGTAAATGAGCGATACAAAGTAGCCTATATTGACAGCAGGTGCTTCCACACATGTGTGGTTCCTGAGTTAATTAAGCAATTAACATCCCATCATGCTTAGGGTCATAGGATGACAATGCCCCCATCCACAGAGCACCAGTGGTCACTGAATGGTTTGATGAGCATGAAAACGATGTTAACCATATGACATGGTAGTTTCAGTCACCAGATCTCAACCCAATTGAACACTTAGGCTATGAGAGATTCTGGAGCGGTGCCTGAGACAGCGTTTTCCACCACCATCAACAAAACACCAAATTATGGAATTTCTTGTGGAAGAATGGTGTCGCCAGGGGAGAATGACTGCTCCTTCTCATTGAAGGCACGGAAGTTCAAGGCCGACAGCAATACTGCAGGCATTGTTAGCAGAAAACAGGATCCCCCATTATAGTGAATGGGAAAATGTAAATCTTCATGGTCAATCTTTGTGTAAATAAAACAAAAATTAGAAGATAATCATGGTACCAATAATTGCTTCTAATACACCAGATGTAGAATCAAAATCATGTTTATTGTCCTACAAGAGGGAAGAGTTCACACCTGAATAGACAAAACAAATATGAAAACACAGAAGAAACAAACAACAGTCAGGGATAAACAGCACCCCCCTGCCCATGGGAGAAATTACATGGAATTGTTCACTATGGTGATAGCCCCCGGGATGAAACTCCTCCTGAAACGCGCAGTACATGCGCCACAGAATTGTCTGATATCTCAGACCTAATGGGAGGAGATCAAAGCAAAGGTGAAGTGGGTGGTCCAGGCGGGCTTTGCGGTGGATAGTGTGATCAATCAAAAGGGAGAGTTGAGCAGTGTGGTGGGAGGGATTAATTTAGATGCCGTTTTTGTGATCTTTAAGAGTTTGTTGCGTTGTGAGACATATTGTGGTAACAAATGCTGCCTAGATGAGTAGTGGTTCAATTATTATTTTTTAGTCATTTTAGCAGTCGCTCTTATCCAGAGCAACTTACAGTTAGTGAGTGCATAATTTTTTTTTCTTCATACTGGCCCCCTGTGGGACACAGCCTAGGATCGAACCCAGGTCTGTAGTGACACCTCAAGCACTGGGATGCAGTGCCTTAGACCGCTGCGCCACTCGGGATGACCCTTAAAAGTGTTCTTACACTATGATTTTGAACATTCAAAGCAACTGGGAAACGTCTATGGCAGGCATTGTTGTCACCTTAGCTTGCTACATAACTTCTGAGTGATAGGAAGCACGAGCACCCACCAATCAGCCTAAACCACTGCACACACACCCGTCATTACTATGACAATTAGCGTAGCCATGTCTGCACACACAGTCACTTGTAACTTGCTGTTTGGACAGTCATTAAGGCCTGCAGTGTGAACAAGGCAAATACATGTCCTCACAAATGGAAGGCAGGTGGGAGGAGGCGAGATCAGGTGGGACCATTCTAGCCAATGAGAGGGCAGATACGTGTGTGAACAACGGTCATAGAGATATCTGTGCCATTATAGTGTCTGTGACAGCATGGGCAGCGCCATTAAATTTACATTTACGTCATTTAGCAGACGCTCTTATCCAGTGCGACTTACAGTTAGTGTGTGCATACATATATATATATATATCTTTTACATACCCCCGTGGGAATCGAACCCACAACCCTGGCGTTACAAACGCCATGCTCTACCAACTGAGCTACATCCCTGCCGGCCATTCCCTCCCCTATCCTGGACGACGCTGGGCCAATTGTGCGCCGCCCCATGGGTCTCCCGGTCGCGGCCGGCTACGACAGAGCCTGGATTCGAACCAGGATCTCTAGTGGCACAGCGGTCTAAAATACTTTCTATGGAGTTGTGCCTGTTGTCATAGAGATAGATAGAGGACTCATCGTGGCTACAACCCATTTTAGCATGGACATTGCCATTGAGGGATTGCACCATTTAAAAGTAGTTAACTGGGTGGGAATTTGACCACTGCGCCACTCAATGGCTATCTCCATTTTAAAGTAGTCGTTTTCTTCTTAATTCCCACCCAGTTAACTACTTTAAAATGGTGCAATCCCTCAATGGCAATGTCCATGCTAAAATGGGTTATAGCCACGATGAGTCCTCTATCTAGCTCTATGACAACAGGCACAACTCCATAGAAAGTATTTTTTTCAAAGTTGCCGAAATGCCACGTGCGTCCACTTATATCAGTGCATTTGTAACACCCTAACCATTACGAAACTTCTATTCGATCAAATAAGAGCCACGTAGCAAATTAGCAAGTATATTTTTTGTTGACCAAATTCGACACTCTCTCATTGACCTCCATACAAAACTTCCTCACTTCGTGGGCTTATTTTTGTAGACAGATTTTGGGCTGAGTAAAACCTCTCACTTCGCCTCTTCCTCTCTGGCGCTATTGAGTCTTCACATAGAAATGAACGGAGTCACGTCATCGATTGAGTGTCACATCTAGTTACCCCAGCCACAAAGTCAAAATTGGCTATCGTAAAAGTTCATGAAAACAAACATTCGCTTTTTGGTCTTAATTTAAGGTTACGGTTAGGCATAAGGTTAGCAGTGTAGTTAAGTTTAGGGTTAGGTTTAAAATCACATTTTAAGAAAATATATTGTAGAAATAGGCAGGTTTATGACTGTGGTAACTAGTGACAACCCTCCAATAGAGTTCTAGACACTTGTAGAATCTATGCCAAGGTGCATTGAAGCTGTTCTGGCTCATTGTGGCCCAATGCCGTATTAAGACACTTTATGTCGAGGTTCCTTTATTTTGGCAGTTACCTGTATGTGGTCGTTAGCTAGGTGTTATGAAAGCAACCCACTGGGCACACACTGGCTGAATCAACGTTGTTTCCACGCCATTTCGATGAAATTACATTGAACCAATGTGGAATAGACGTTGAATTAACGTCTGTGGCAAGTGGGGAAAAAAACAAAATATCATTGCATAATCATTGTTTAGGTATTTATACGGCATATTGCTAAATTTTTCCTTAATACACTACTTTAAATGCTGTGGAAAGAAAAGTCCAAGAGGTTAAACAGACATCACAGCGACCGTGTTCCATGGACAATGTGACAAATAAGTTTCCCCTCAAGACGTGTTTCTATTTATTGAAGACTGAAAAAGCAAAACATGTCTGCCATAATAGATTTGCAACTCAAACGGACATTTAAATGATCATATTAATTATTGTATTCTAGATGAGTGTCTTGCATGCTTAGGTTTGTGTTCTCCTTATAAACTGTCATTATGTTGCTGATTAACTTGTAATTAGCAAAGGGAATTAAGCAGGCAGATTGTTCAGAAATACAAAAGGGCAAAATATGCTTAGTAGGAGGGTAACTGTGTGCTTGTTGTCTTCCTGAGAGTGATAGGGAGTTGAGGCTAGTCCTCTGATAAGTAGAAAAGCATTTCAAGATAACTTTGTAAAAACAGGTCTATACATTATAAGTACAGTACCTCATTCTGTTATACTTTCAAGAGTATGTGGTTGAGGTGGTTCAAAGGAATGTTTACATGTTTTAAAAAAAACAACGATTGTATCGGCCTCATAACAGCAGTACACATAATTTGTGTACAGTTGAAGATTAGTTTGACTGGTGTCTGTCTGCATAGACCTTATGATCCCAATGTTTCAGTTTTTTTTTTTTTTTAACTAATCCCCAATTCTGCCCATATAACCCCAAAATGTGTGTCAGTGAGAGACAGAGATAGAGAGAACACTAGCATTGCTTTCTGCAAAGCCACTTATTACAGAGAACCAGGGACAAGACAGTTGTCAAGCTTTATGTGCCCTGGCAACCTCAACTTCCTAACTCCTATACTTTGTAAGGATTGTGGTGTGGGGATAATAAAATGCCCAGAGCTTTCTACCCAGTATTGCATAACACAATTGGCCCTTGTAGAATAAATAAAGTATACAACTGAATTGGATTGAATAAACAGGTGTAGAGAAGTTCCATGTTGTACTGGCCTCCTGCTGTCAGTTGAGGTGGTAGAGAGGAGCAGACGGATGTTCATGTAGTACAGTTCAGCACATGGTTCTGCTTTGTTCCCTCACAATGACACGTCAGCCCTGGGAGCACTCTGTTCGCTGTCACTCTTTCTCTACCTCTCACTCTTCTTCACTTGCCTAGAGGTTTGAGGTGTTCTAACCTTCAGCAAATAACTCAAGGGTCCTCAGAATGAGATGGTTGAGAGGAGGAATAGAGAAGGCAAGGGCCTTTTCCTCAATTGGATTAGCTCAACTCCTGTGTCCTCTGCTCCGTCCTCTCTCGCTTCCTTTTGAAAAAGGTCAAAGGTAAATCGAGAGAAAGTGGACGAAAATACACTTGTCTGAAATGAGACTCTCCTCCACTTGTGCATCATCATGCAAATTCCATTTACAGGGGTGGATCCCAAAATAAAATGTGTAAAATTATAAAAACAAAGTTAGCAGCGCAATACATTTTATAGATAAAATAAGTAACATATTGTTTTTAAACATGTGCATGTCTTTCTCCTCCTACTAAACAATAGCTGATTCAAACGGGGTGTGGCAGATTTCAAAACTCTTCATGCGAAGGACTCAGGTAGGATACACATTAATATTCTCAATGAAAGGTGGCTTTCGAGGAGGGGAAGACACTTTTCCGTTCGCCTCCTAACCAATTGACACTCTCCTCGACCACTTTTCAGTTTCTGGGTCACGGAGGAGAGAGGACGGAGGACTGACTTTTGCCCAAATGTGAAAAGGCCCAAGAGGAAGAGAGGTGGAGAAGAGCATAGATAAATGTATTCACCTATGTATGAAGTCCCTGTCAATCGGCAATTAACATTTTTGTCTTGATGTTTGAGACTATTGCGGCAAAATATATATATCTTGAAATAAGGGAAAACAAGGGGGTAAAAAAATCAGCAAAGATAGGTTTGTGCTGTACTGGCCACTCAAGAGACAGCAGCCTTGGACCACTCTTCTCTCTCTTTCTGTACCTCTCATTCTCCATTTCACCTTCTCCCTTCTCTCTTTGTGACTGAACACACTTTTCTATTCCTCTCTGATCAATCTATCCAATGGCTGCCGACAAACAGCTGTGGCCGTTGTTCTTGCTGTGACGCTACACTGTTCCCTTGTTTAGCAAGACAAGTTGGATAAAGCAGAAACAGAAACACACTCACCAACCAAGCAAACGTTCTCAAGTTATGACACTTTGGTACAAGTATGACCCACATCACCACAATGAATAAACCAAACTAAAACATAAATTTAAGAAGATCAGTCTGTAAACATTTTAATGACTTCCGTTGGGGAGTGGGGTAGAGGGGCAGCACAAGACAGGTGGAGTTTAAGTAACTGTTTATCAAGGCCCAAGGGATAATAAAGAGTCCCATTGTAATCTATGTTTCCTCCAATGTCCACTGCTATTCCGCTGCTCACGTGTGCAGTGAAGAGCACAGGCATGTACAGTGAGTGGGTGACCGTGTGTCCGGTGGTGGTTAACAACACGTGGGTTGGGAGTCACGTGGGTTGTTCAGTTCAGTGGTTAATGCCACACATTTTTCCATTCAGTGATGCACGCGTGTGATGTCACTGGAAGAGGCAGGGCTATTGCAGGTGGGACATAGGATGTGATTGGGCATTGCTGTGGTGACAAGTGGGCGGGGCTTCCTGTGTAGGCAGGGGCGGCACAGGAAGTGACCACAGGGCAGGCGGTACGCTGACGGAGAGGTCGAGTAGACGGACAGAGAGCAGGAACAAGAACCACACCTGTTCTCACCTGGGAGAGAGAGATAGGGAAGGGGAGAGAGAAGGGGGGGAAGGAGAGAAATAGGAAACGCTATAGAGGGTGAGAAAGAGCGAAAGGTTGAAGGAGAGAAAGAGAACACATGTATTGAGCAGTATGTACACCTTGACTGAGATGATCTGTTCACAGTTTTAAATTGTATTTTCTCTCTGACAGACCACTGTATTCACTCTCCAACAACTGAAACGTTATTGAAAAAAGACTTTCAACAAACTACAGGAATTACAGCAATGGAAAGAAAGTTTGTATGGCAAGTCGCGGAGGATGCAGTATAAAGAAAGAAAGATCCATCTCTGCACACATACTGTAGGTGAACATAATGCACTGAAAGACCTTGGTACAGTGTAGTGGGCCTGAAAGGCCTGCCCTTGGACAGCCTATCTATGTTGACAGTGTCTTTCTCCCTGGTAACTAGGCAACATCCCACTACTTGACCATCTAACTTGTTCAACTAATGACTAGTCAACTCAATACTTTTCCCCGTCATTCATTCGTACTCTCAACCCTGAAGTTGATGGAAAACCTTATAAAAGCATTACAGCCTTTCTATCTTACTTGAAGTAATCACTTATCTGGAAGGAAATGGAGAAGAGAAAAACCAGAATTCCCCTCAATTGTTTTTCCTTGTCAGATCAGTGATTACTCCAAGGAAAGGTACATTTGAGCCATATCATACAAGCCACTAGCCGCTGCGCCTACCTGTTGGGGTGTCAGCAGGTGTGTCTGTGTGTTTGTGTTGGACCTGGGGGGTTTGGGAGGTGTAGGAGGTAAAGGAGGGTCGACCCTGCAGAGCTGAGAGAAGGGCCTGGTCTAGACTGGCAGACAAACGCTGCTCATGGTCTAGACTGGCAGACGAACGCTGCTCATGGTCTAGACTGGCAGACAAACGCTGCTCATGGTCTAGACTGGCAGACGAACGCTGCTCATGGTCTAGACTGGCAGACGAACGCTGCTCATGGTCTAGACTGGCAGACAAACGCTGCTCATGGGAGCTACCGCTGGGAACTGTGGCTGGAACAAAAGGAATAACACAGAAACACTAATGAGTGACACATTCAAATATTTGATAGAGCCAACCTTCAATAAAGGCCTTTGAACTAACAAGAGAATGAATGCCTTGATGTTTTGCTCTCACGCTTTTTGAATTGTCTACACCAGTTCACCACTTACCTGTGGAGATAGTGGAGTTTGTGTCTGTTCTTAGTCTTTTCGAGTCAGGAAGTAGCTCCTTGGCGTGACCAGCGCTAGCAGAGGCTGCTTTGGCTGCGGTGGGCTCACCCTTTCCCTTAGAGCGGATCAGAGTGGCCCAAACCTCCAGCTCTCTCTTCCTCCTAGTCCCCAAATCTGGCCCTCCATCCTGGGAACTCACTCTATCCACTACCCCTTCTTTACGACCAACTTTACCAGCACACCGGTCCTTCCCATTCCCATTCTTCACCCTGTTGTTAAAAGCCCCGGTTCCCCTGTGCTGCGTAGAGAGGCTCCTCTCTGTATTAACACTTTCTGCCCGTTTTTGAGTAGTCTGTGTGAGAGTCCCACTGTTTCTGCTAAGTGCACCCTGGTGGTTGGCTGACTCTATAGCAGCAGCAGCATTAGTGACTGCAGGGGCCCCACTGTCCCCTGTCCTCTGTGGGGGTATGAGTCTGGAGGTGTGCGGATTCTCCCCCTGGACCTGCCTCCCCACCATCCCCTCCCTGACCTCTAACCCTGTCTGAAGCAGGAAGCGGTCGATGCGGCTCTTCAGGTGGGGGTTGGGGAGGGCCTGTGCCTCAGGGATGAAGGGAACACCGGTGAAGGGGTCGTTGGGGACACGACCCCAGGTTGCCTCCCTCCTCTGGTACTCCTCCAGAGTGGAGCTGTCCACAGACACTCCGCTGGGCAGCAGCATAGGCAGCAACATCACTTCCTGGGTCAGGGGGTCCAGGAACTCCTCAGGGACCTGCAGGAGGCTGGGGGTGGGGGGGGGGGGGGGAAATCGAGAAAAATACAGAACATTATTATCGTCCCAGAGATGAAGGTTTTGCCTTTGGCTTCATGAACAGAATTACAATTCACCTTGCATCATATATTGTGTTGAAAACAGTCATGTTTTATACACACTATACCTCGTTGGTGTTGTCGTCTGTGACAGCGGCTGTGGTTGAATGACAGGGGAAGTCTGCGCTGATGCCAAGTGGCTAAGCTGTGGCGCTGGTCTCAGGCTAGCGTTCTCATGTGCTATCCTCACCCTCTCCACCTCCTCTGGAGGGCAGCAGCGAGAAGGCATCCCCCACACTGCCAGTGCCTTGAGCCCCATCGCGGAGGCACCCGCACCGTACGGCACTGACACACGGAGCTGCTTCACAGAGCCTAGTGAGAGCGGGCCCCTGCTCCACAGCTCCTCTTGTCTACACCCCTCTCGGGGAGGCGGTGGCAGGGAGGGGAAGGGAGGGCGCGGGCGGAAACAGGGATGGGAGAAACTGACATGGATCTCTTCTCTTAGTTCACAGCGTCCCACTAGGCGGAAATCCCCCTGGCTGGTGTCTGTGTGACTCTGAGTTTGGCCACGTTGGGTCCATTGCTGACTCTTCTCCTGGCCTTGTAGGCTCCATTGTTGGGCCTGGAGGCTCCATTGGTGGCCCTTGAATTGGGCCTTGGCTTGGTCCCATTGCTGGCCCTTGTCTTGGCCTGGTTGGGCCTGACTTTGGCCCTGCTCTAGGCTGTGGTTGTGAGGGAGTGGGGGATCAGAGCTGGTGCTGATCTCCAGCCTCTTGCAGGCCTGTCCTCGGTCCATCCCCCAGGGCCACAGTTCCACATCCACCCGACACACTTCGACCTGGAAACCAAACTGCAGTGTAACCTAGGGTCAGATAAAGGGAAGATTAGACAGACAGACACCTGCCCAAAATGACCACTTCTCTAGAAAGAGATGAAGAATAGGACAGTGATGTCATAAGATTCATCTCTAAATATTCTAGAGCGTCAGCTCACCTGAACGGGTGGCCGAAGGAAGTACTCCAGCTTAAAACCCCGCCTCCGGACTGCTGGGTCGGCCGATAGGAGGTTGGTGACGTCATACCCATCTGCACACAGCTAGATGAGGGAAAGAGGGAAAAGAAGAGAGGAGAGAGAGGGGTGAAGAGTGAGGAAGGGGAGAGGGATGGAAAGGAGGAGGAGGAGAGAGGGCGGTAGGGTTGAAGAGAGAAGTTATGAAAGTGAGGTAAGGTAAAGAGGAGACAGGAAGGGCAAAAAGGAGGTGGAGAATGAAAGGATAGAGAGAGAGATAAAAGAGGAGAGTGAAAAAGTTGAAGATTCACTCCCAGAACAAGAATAAGGCCTAGCCAAGCGAGTATCAAACAGCCTATAATACAAAGAGAGGAACATAGCAAGGTCAGCTGTGATTCAACCTCCCACACAGCAACTTGCCCCTCTCCTTCCGACCATCCTCCCCCGCCAACCTCTTCCTCTCATTCTAGCACACATCTCTCACCTTGGCTCTTTCTCCTCCTCCTCTCCATAACACCCAGAGGACAGAATATTACCACAGATGTATTACAGAAGGACAAGGGGTTGAGACGAGACAAAAAGGAAAAGTGGCTTTTTTAGCTGGGGAGGAGGAGGAAAGCGAGTATCTGAACTTTTCCAATAAGAATGCTCATTTTAGATGTTTTATTTAGAAGCATTTCCCCCCGCCATTTGCTTTTACTTTGACTGAGCATACAACCTTTGTTCAGATTGTTAGCCGACACATTGAACCAACGCTAGAAAACGATCAATGGAGGGGGGGATAATGTCAGCTCCGGTCCATACAATTCTAATGCAATCTAAAATGTTTTGTACCTTGTCACACTGGATGGTGGTCTTGAAATGTGGCAGGCAGAGATTCACCACCATGGTCTCACACTTGCTGAAAGAAAAAACTGAAATCAATGTTTTTAACTTCTACACTAGACATTACTCTCCTCATTAGGGTTACCAACATATTCTGTGGAATTATTTAAATCCTTCAGACAGCAGTCTAAACCAGGCATAGCAAAACAAGTGTCAACCCTACTGTTCACATAGGGCAGCACGTGTGGATGTATGTATGAAATTATGAATAATTCCATTCAATAGCCTAAATCTTTATTGTCCCTAAAGTTAAATTACTGTTCAGTGTAAAACAGACATACATATACACAGCAAATATATCTTACAGTGACAAGGCGAAGAATAAGTGTGTTGTGAATAATAAACACACAATGAAGTTCTATACTGGCAGTCCTTGCTACAGGCTGAACGAAATTGCTTCTCTTCAGAATTGCAATAACCCTTGACCTCTCGCCACTGTGAGCTGTCAGTTGACCTTGCCCTAGAAAGGGGCCCTTTTATTTAGTCTCACATTAATTTACAACGACAGCCTACTTGATTCAAGGAAACATCATCTCTTGGGAAGCAATATGTAATCAATAGCAGTACATCCCATAAATCCTAAGGAGGGTGACACACTACATTCTAATAGAACACAAAGAAAAAGGACATGGCAGTAAATAAATAAAATATGATTATGCCATTCAGTAGCCTATTTGGAGTTATACAGTCATGTTCAGTTAGCCTAGCTATTCCTCCACGACACAATATAGACAAGTTAGCTAGCTAGCTAACGTTACAGAGGCATATATGCTAGCTACATAATAGCCTTCGAACACATTATAGCCTATTCCACACACAAACGGCCGACTAATGACAGTATTCTGTAACTTATGTTGGCCTTCTCATCTCTAAAGATAACTAACTAGCTAGCTAGGTAGTACTTCATTGGTTGCTTCCAAGCCAGAGACCCGACCGACGATGGAGTCTCTCTGGCTAGCTCCTTAATAGCTAGCTAGGTTTTGTTTACAGAAACCAGTCTAACGTTAACTTCTTGCAGAAAGTTTGCTAGCAAGCTATCAGAGTTTACCGTGCTTCCTGCTAATGTTCTTGTAGAAGAGCTCACACGAACTGTCTGAAATAAATTAAAACGATACAATCACTTGAGCGTTTCTCTGGTTGGACCACTTCTGCATGCATTTAACCAAAACACTGACATTAGCTAGCTAGCTGGTAGGAAGGAAGGAGAAGAGGGACATATTTCACGGCGTCAACTATTTTCGCGATTGCTACTACCGTGTGACAGTTATAATGAATTGGCTCTGGCACAATGATGTTAAAGCTGTTCTTACAGCTTCTCTGTTATGAATTTAAGTATTTTTCTAAATTTGAAATTGTTAATAATTTGATGTGGCAAAAGAAGATTAGAGCAGCAGTACCTTGACAGATTTATTAGAGAATGGCACCTAGACATCATTTTATAGAGTCTATGAAGTAAGAAACCACATGGAAAAAGTGGTATGCAAGTTAGTTCCAAAAAACGGATTTTCACCAAGTCAAGTGAATTGCCGCTGGGGGACAGGGGCCGGCCTATGTTAAGTGTTTAAAAAAAAGTACAAAAGTGTTTGTTAGGTGTTAAGCCTGTGTTAAAAGTTGCTTAAAATTATTAAAGACAAAAAAGCATTGTGGTTGTGTTGAATTGTGTTTGGCAAATAAAGATGGACATGGTTTAAAAAAAGTAGTGGTAATATTTCATTCAGTCAAAAAATGTGTATGTGGCTTAATTTACTCTGTCCCTTTGCTCAACTTAACCCATACCCGGGGTAGGTTGTGCCAAGAGACCACTTTTTTTGGACAAGCTATGCTTTCAAAACTGTAATGTTTACATAAATTCTGATTATTTCCAGGGAAACACAACATCCTTAAATATTTGTTGATATCTTTGTTACAAATAATACTATATTTCCCTTGACCAGTGGTGTGTATTCATGGATGCCAAGGGAAGCCAGGATTCCCCAAAAAATGTACCAAGAAAAAACATATTAAATGTATCTTTCGTCTCTCTGTGTTTCATACATTCAGCCTCTTGCGAATTGAAGTAAAAGTATCTCACTGGAGAAATAATCAGAGCGAGCGAAACAGCGCCCCTCTGTGTCTGTATGTGTAGCCCATCTACAGTTGAAGTCGGAAGTTTACATACACCTTAGCCAAATACATTTAAACTCAGTTTTTCACAATTCCTGACATTTAATCCTAGTATAAATTCCCTGTTTTAGGTCAGTTAGGATCACCACTTTATTTTAAGAATGTGACATTTCAGAATAATACTAGAGAGAATGATTTATTTCAGCTTTTATTTATTTCATCACATTCCCAGTGGGTCAGATGTTTACATACACTCAATTAGTATTTGTTAGCATTGCTTTTAAATTGTTTAACTTGGGTCAAACGTTTTGGGTAGCCTTCCACAAGCTTCCCACAATAAGTTGGGTGAATTTTGGCCTATTCCTCCTGACAGAGCTGGTGTAACTGAGTCAGGTTTGTAGGCCTCCTTGCTCGCACATGCTTTTTAAGTTCTGCCCACAAATTTCCTATAGGATTGAGGTCAGGGCTTTGTGATGGCCAATTCAATACATTGACTTTGTTGTCCTTAAGCCATTTTGCCACAACTTTGGAAGTACAGTGGGGAGAACAAGTATTTGATACACTGCCGATTTTGCAGGTTTTCCTACTTACAAAGCATGTAGAGGTCTGTAATTTTTATCATAGGTACACTTCAACTGTGAGAGACGGAATCTAAAACCAAAATCCAGAAAATCAAATTGTATGATTTTTAAGTAATTAATTTGCATTTTATTGCATGACATAAGTATTTGATACATCAGAAAAGCAGAACATAATATTTGGTACAGAAACCTTTGTTTGCAATTACAGAGATCATGTAAGTTTCCTGTAGGTCTTGACCAGGTTTGCACACACTGCAGCAGGGATTTTGTCCCACTCCTCCATACAGACCTTCTCCAGATCCTTCAGGTTTCGGGGCTGTCGCTGGGCAATACGGACTTTCAGCTCCCTCCAAAGATTTTCTATTGGGTTCAGGTCTGGAGACTGGCTAGGCCACTCCAGGACCTTGAGATGCTTCTTACGGAGCCACTCCTTAGTTGCCCTGGCTGTGTGTTTCGGGTCATTGTCATGCTGGAAGACCCAGCCACGACCCATCTTTAATGCTCTTACTGAGGGAAGGAGGTTGTTGGCCAAGATCTTGCGATACATGGCCCCATCCATCCTCCCCTCAATACGGTGCAGTCGTCCTGTCCCCTTTGCAGAAAAGCATCCCCAAAGAATGATGTTTCCACCGCCATGTTTCACGGTTGGGATGGTGTTCTTGGGGTTGTACTCATCCTTCTTCTTCCTCCAAACACGGCGAGTGGAGTTTAGACCAAAAAGCTCTATTTCTGTCTCATCAGACCACATGACCTTCTCCCATTCCTCCTCTGGATCATCCAGATGGTCATTGGCAAACTTCAGACGGGCCTGGACATGCGCTGGCTTGAGCAGGGGGACCTTGCGTGCGCTGCAGGATTTTAATCCATGACGGCGTAGTGTGTTACTAATGGTTTTCTTTTAGACTGTGGTCCCAGCTCTCTTCAGGTCATTGACCAGGTCCTGCCGTGTAGTTCTGGGCTGATCCCTCACCTTCCTCATGATCATTGATGCCCCACGAGGTGAGATCTTGCATGGAGCCCCAGACCGAGGTTGATTGACCGTCATCTTGAACTTCTTCCATTTTCTAATAATTGAGCCAACAGTTGTTGCCTTCTCACCATGCTGCTTGCCTATTGTCCTGTAGCCCATCCTAGCATTGTGCAGGTCTACAATTTTATCCCTGATGTCCTTACACAGCTCTCTGGTCTTGGCCATTGTGGAGAGGTTGGAGTCTGTTTGATTGAGTGTGTGGACAGGTGTCTTTTATACAGGTAACGAGTTCAAACAGGTGCAGTTAATACAGGTAATGAGTGGAGAACAGGTCTGTGAGAGCCGGAATTCTTACTGGTTGGTAGGTGATCAAATACTTACGTCATGCAATAAAATGCAAATTAATTACTTAAAAATCACACGATGTGATTTTCTGGATTTTTGTTTTAGATTCTGTCTCTCACAGTTGAAGTGTACCTATGATAAAAAATAACAGACCACTACATGCTTTGTAAGTAGGAAAACCTGCAAAATTCTCCCCACTGTATGCTTGAGGTCATTGTCCATTTGGAAGACCCATTTGCGACCAAGCTTTAACTTCCTGACTGATGTCTTGAGATGTTGCTTCAATCCACATAATTTTCCTTCCTCATGATACCATCTATTTTGTGAAGTCCACCAGTCCCTCCTGCAGCAAAACACCCCCACAGCATGATGCTGCCACCCCCGTGTTTCACGGTTGGGATTGTGTTCTTCGGCTTGCAAGCACCCCCTTTTTCCTCCAAACATAACGATGGTCATTATGGCCAAACAGTTCTATTTTTGTTTCATCAGACCAGAGGACATTTCTCCAAAAAGTACGATCTTTGTCCACATGTGCAGTTGCAAACCGTAGTCTGGCTTTTTTATGGCGGTTTTGGAGCAGTGGCTTCTTCCTTGCTGAGCGGCCTTTCAGGTTATGTCGATATAGGACTTGTTTTACTGTGGATATAGATACTTTTGTACCTGTTTCCATCAGCATCTTCACAAGGTCCTTTGCTGTTGTTCTGGGATTGATTTGCACTTTTCGCACCAAAGTACGTTCATCTCTAGGAGACAGAACGTGTCTCCTTCCTAAGTGGTATGACGGCTGCGTGGTCCCATGGTGTTTATACTTGCGTACTATTGTTTGTACAGATGAACGTGGTACCTTCAGGCATTTGGAAAATGCTCCCAAGGATGAACCAGACTTGTAGAGGTCTACAATTATTTTTAGAGGTCTTGGCTGATTTCTTTTGATTTTCCCATGATGTCAAGCAAAGAGGCACTGAGTTTGAAGGTAGGCCTTGAAATACATCCACAGGTACACCTCCAATTGACTC